CCATCGAAATATTTATCTCATTGACGTGATATCCTGATTGTAATGCTTAACCTTGGTGATCTTCAACTTTGATGATCAGAAATTGATCTTGGTGAATCAAAAGAGCATTTATCTGCTCTACATAACAAGTTGAGAAACATGAAATGTCCACAGCAAAGATGTTTCATTTCGAGTGCTTATTTCAGTATTGGACCGAATTCACTAAAGTGATCCAGCTTTGTGAACAAATATCTGATACAATTCCGTTGTATCCGCTGCAAAATACTGATGAAATCAAATACTTTCTAAGGCCAATTGATCCTCCAAAGGTGAGTTTGACGACTGAAAGTATAAACTTAATGATTCAACTGCAGAAACAATAAAAGCACAAAGTGCAACGCGATAATTCCTTTACGATCCAGTTCTTCACTACAATTTAGCGTTTCTTGAATGAGGGATCATCACTGAAAAATAAGAATTTTGAGTGAAATGCGATTTCACTGTGGATTTTCAGTTCAATGAACCGTGCAATATTGTGACATTGGGTATTGGTCACGATGTCACTTCTGAATGGAAACTCAAAAACATTCTACCTGAGCATTGCCAGTTTTACGGTGCTGATCCATCTGAGGAACAAAACAGACGTTTATATGAAGGGCTCAGAGGGAAATTCTTTCCCATCGCCGTTGCTGATAAAACTCACAATAGAACATCGTTTTTAATGAACTGTAAGTTTACTGTTAAGCATAATATTCTTCTGCGTTCCCCATATCGTTTCAATTCTCGAACCATATGGTATGGTTTCACAAAAGTACATCGCGCTTTAATCAGATCTTGTTTGGCCGCACGAAACTTTAATGCGACATCATTTAATGCCATATCGCATGCAATATGCTCAAGAAGGAAGAAAACCTTCAACACTAGTTGGCCGTATTTGCACAGTTATACTTGAGTCACATTTTTAGCGATGTTCACAAATGAATTTCGATAAACACTCAACTGAAACGCTTCAGATAATGGTAGCGGAAGATATCAGAATGAAACAATACGACACATCGGCATCGTAGAGTTCATTAAGCATCATGCTCATATTCAATCACCAATCGACTTAATTCTTATTGATATCGAAGGAGCTGAGGCTAGTGCAACAAACATACTCGTCATTCTATAGATCATATTCAGATACCCTTTGAGGACATCGTCCCAACATCCTCCTTAAAACCCATCAAAAAGTGTTTTTATTCCACTGAGTTTACGAAAATGCTAACAATGAGCAAATAATCTGAAGTTTCGATTTTTCTTCCAGTTTGATTTGTTGCCGTTCACTGCGCGAGAAAATGAATACGATCAGAACGGTATAGTCTTCTGCCAGATAAACGTAGAGTTCCATTGGCCTAATGAAGAACAACGGAATGCGCTCAACTTATTCATCTTGACGAATCTCGTCCAGAAAAAGTTTTCTTTTCAAGATTTTTTTCACTCTATTGGAATTCTTTCCCCTAAACGGATTCTTCATATGCATCAAAGAATCCGTTACAGTCGAAAGAGAAAAAACAAAGACTATGTAACAGTGAAATAACAAAACATTTTGATAGTGCACATTTCATAGTGTGGACGTTCTGTTGATTTGGTTTAATGTGAACTAATTTAGCAATACGAAAAACAATTGCACTAGGACATTGTCCGAATAATTTATTCATGCATTTCAAATGCTTATCTCTGAACAGACACTGTCAAGTTCAATTGCAGATACTTGATGGCAAAAGCGTCACATTTTGAACCACCAGACGTGAATCGTTTGTACCTATTGAATATCGAAGATGAATTTTGCGTCAAACGCTACTTGAATATTTCACTGAAACCTTGAATATTTCCAACGAATTATCTCATTTGTTCACTTGCATTCTCCTTTGTTTCAATCATCTCATTTGCTGTGATAAACGCTAATAAATTCGTTATTCTAACATACGATGACTTCATTAATTTTTTTTATGATAATGACCCTAAAATTCGTCTCGTCCAAAATAATTTAAGTAAACTGGCAAACGAGCAAATGATCGAGGCTTGTGACTCAGAAATATGACAACAGAGCAACAACAATGAATGATGATTATGACAAAAAGTATCAGTACAAAATTAATACAGTCTTAATCGCACGATCTGTACAAATGAATAGATCCTTGGATGTGTCATGAAGTGCTGTTAGGAAGGGCTTCCTTCATCACTACTCGAACTCGAACTTGAGTCTGAACTCATCTG